TTTCGGGAATCGTTTTTGCGATTTGTTGTCAGCTTGTTTATAGAATGCAATACAGAATGGAGCATAGATTTAAAGCAAAACCACATTATTAATATTTCACTGTCTATAGGACATTTCATGCTTTTACTAACATAAAGAGTAATAATAAGTATTTGGTAAGTAACTGATTGCACTAGCGATTTCCCTAAAATACAAATTCGTAACTTTTTTGAAAATTCGAAATAGCATAAATGAATAATATTTTTTTAATGAGATTGTCTAAATATAATAACACATCTACGTAGAATACCTCAAAGGTAATTTGCAAATTGGCCATGCCACGGACACGACATAATGTGGCGTTTTAATGAACCATTTCGTGCACGCACGCTTGTCACTCTTGCTCCAGTTGGGGGCCTACGGACAACTTGTTCTTTACATGTCAGGCATGCATCGACCAGCCCCTTGGATGTTGACTAATGTGAGCACAAGCGTCACCCACTCAAAATTATACACACATTATGCATGAGTGCTTCACAGGGCCTATATGACGCCGATTGGCTGGATGTATAAATTTGAAGGACACAGCTCGCCATCTTACTCGGCCATTATCGACGAATATCTTGAAAGTTATAGGTAAGCTACACAACTGCATTTCCGTTATAAATACTCTATGAGAAAATAATTAATGCGTGTACCATAGCATTCATTTCATAATGGTTGTTCAGCTAAACGATTTGATGGAAATGATTAATTTTAGATTTTGATCAGTTCAGGTTTGCATAATGAATATTTTAATTATTATACAAACTCTTTCAAGAAGTAGGGACAAATGAGGGTTTAAGAGCAATTATAGTTTTAGGAACACTATTCGTTTACGATTATAATGTCTTCCACATTTTCACATTTTCTAGAGAGCCAAAATTTCTAATTGAGTTACAATTTGGAAGCCACATTAATTAGTAGTTCCTCAAAGTTTAAACTTAATTTCTAGTTGTCTCAAAGATAAAGAATACTTTAGCAAAATGTTTACTTTGATAAATCAACTTTAATTCATTTTTGCAGATCGCGTAATATTATTTATATACCAGACACAGGCATGAAAATCGAATGTACCGCCGATCATGACGAACACTGCAAGCTTTTACTTGAACATATCCGCTAGAGAATTTTCTCTTGAACGTGTATAATAGAAGATTGCCCAATATGTTACTCCAGGATATCTGCTAGAGAACTTTTCCTTGAACGTGTATGGTAGAAGATTGCCCAATATGTTACTCCAGGATATTCGCTAGAGTATTTTCCTTGAACGTTCATATAGTAGAAGATTGCCCAATATGTTACTCCAGAATATCCGCTAGAGAATTTTTTCTTGAACGTGTTTAATAGAACATTTCCAAATATGTTACTCAAGGCTATTCGCTAGAGAATTTTTTCTTGAACGTGTTTAGTACAACATTGCCCAATATGTTACCCCAGGATATCCGCTAGAGAACTTTTCCTTGAACGTGTGTGGTAGAAGATTTCCCAATATGTTACACAAGGATAATCGTTGGAGAACTGTTTTTGCTCTCGGTACGCACCGGGTAAAAATACTCCACATGCGTGACGAGGCAAATAAATTAGTATTTAAATTACGCGTCTCAGCGGAAACCTATAAATTTTCACTCTCTGTTGCACAATAAATTTATGTTTTCCCGGCATGAACACTATTGAATATCAGAAATTATTTGCAGAATTTCTATCTGCTTCTGAAATTATCCACCAAAATTTAATTGACTTTGTAATAGAAATTCTACTACGAACATTTATAAAATGGTATAAATTCATCTTCAACTATAATCTTGCAAGATTATAGTTGAATAGCGTGCAAAAGAATCAAAGCCTTTGATTACAAGAGATTAAAGCTATTTATGAAGTCAGTTATTCCGAGTTTGTCTAAACTGGTAAAATTTTTGAGGGCTGCTAAAGGTAATCCAGAGCATTGAAACAGGAATCTTTGCTAACACGAGAAATATACTTTATTTCAGCAATACTATATGCTTTTCATGCTTTTTCTAACATAAAGAGTAATAATGATTATATGGTAATTAAGTTACTGACTGCACTAGCGAATTCTATTGAAGTTTGATTGAAGACAGCAGGATGAGTTTTTACATTGTCGTCAATCGGCTGGTGATATAGTTGAAGCCCTCCTCATTTAGGATAGGACTCTAGCTTTTAATCTTCACACTACTTTGCCGTCAGAACTTCGAAATTGTTTTCGGATGAATTTTCGGGCTGCAATTTGAAAGTAGTATCCCATTTACATGATTCTGTAGTTATGTCGATCCAAAACTCAATTTGAGTAATATTCTATTCGAGTAATTTTGTACTTTCTACTTATGTTGATCAAATTTCATAACTAGTGCGCATAACTTGATAATGAATGATGAAACGTTGATATAATGAATTTTGAAACGCTTGAAACGTTGTTGATATATTGAATATAACGCCCGGTAACATGATTTTCGATCTCTCAACGCCAATGAAAAATATTATTCCAGTTATTAAAAGAACAAAAAATGCATAAAAAATCGTGCTATGGTCTTCAACCAAACTTGTATAAAATGATTATCCTATCCTTAACTGATATTTGGTTAGAAATACAAACTCCAACCATTACAATGAATTCTATTGATGGAACAACAAAAAATCATTACCAAGTCTGAAGCATGAAAAATATATCAAGTTGCATGCATATTAAAATTTCGACAAATATATTGTTTGGAGTTCAGTATGAACTTAGGCAAGTTGAGAAATAGCTCAAATAAAATTATATACGGTATAATTATACCGTATATAATTATACGGTATTATTAATTAATTATAATTAATTATAATACCGTATAAATATATAATTATACGGTAGAAGTAAATTATCGCGCCAACAAAATCTGGGTTCGTCCAAGTTGACCGGGAGACAAAAAATGCCTCAACAACATTAACTATAAACATTAACAACTTAACTGCCGCTTTGTTTCAAACCTAATGATATTGCGCCAGTTGCTGAAAGTAAATCACCTGCAAACAAGTGTAGTAAATGTAATATTTAAAGGCAGACGATTTAATTTGAAAATAATTAAAGGAGTAAATTTCTTCGACTGTTCACCGAATCGCGACCAAAATTATAAACTAAATTAAACAGTGAATGCATATATATAATTTAATACTAATAATTTAAATAAGGGAATGTTAACATTTAATATGTAGAAGTAGATTGCTATGCAGCTAAGTCACTACATAGAAATGGATGAATGCTTTTATTACTTTAATATTGAAAATCGTTCTTGTGTAGACGTTATGAATGAAACTACGTAGGTAAAAATAGTTAAAAGTCGCGATCGAGTTACACCCGCTCGGAATTCTACAGCCGCATTTTATTATGAAATAGAAAAATTGCATCGAGAGGAACTTGTTTTGTATTTGCAATTAACGGTTTTGTAAAGCATAAATGAACTTTTCAGTGTTACTGCTCTCCTTAAAAAATTTTTCGTTTTTTAATTACATACACCACCTCATTGATTGTTAGATAAACGATTAAAGTATTGGTCAAACTTGAATTTCCTTCAAAATTTGGCCAAAATTACCTCCGAGAACGCCGGAAGCCTGAAAGTAATCAGTTTTTTGTTCGCAAAAAATTTTCCTGACAGTATTTTCCTGACAGTCCAACGAAGTATTATATAAAAACTGAAGCAATAAATGTCATAGAATTTTAACCTTTTCTCATCTTCTACCAATAACAACACCTCGTTTAGCGACAGCATTTCCCAGCCGTGTCATGCAAATAATGATGGCCTCGTTGAAATATTTTACGAAGAATGCATTATTTACTTCGAACCTCAAGCATTAAAATTCCTCTCGGCCTCTGCTTAGGTTCGTACTCTTAATAATATTCAAGTGCAATGATGAACGCTGATAGGTTTGAAGTGCGCAATACCGCATGCAAGCAGAGCGGCATTATATGTCATGAATAAGAGAGCGTACGAGTCTCTGCTGAGAGTGGGGACTCAAGCCTTCGTTTGCTTTGCAGTCATCTTGTAGTGATGAAAATGCATTTAAAGTGTCAGGCTTAATTTAATAATTAAGCATGGCTTTTGCTGTGCAAGTGCAATTATCATTTTTCTGTAACTGTTTGGTAATTAATTTCATTTTGTTTCAAGTTTGAAAAATTAAAAAAACTCGCCTTGCTTCATCCATGAGAAATTTATTAGCTTATTACAATATTTTCAATGTTATCCTAGTAGTCACAATAAAGATGTATATTCATATAATATTTTACTGCATAATCATATCTCCCGGTAAGCTAGTCACGGGGCTTATCCATCTGGGTCGTGCAAAAGAAACACCTCGCATCGCTGATCTCCATGAGAAGGTATGCATTAAAAACAGTAATAAGCATCATGCATTGAAGCATGCATAGTTACCTTGCATACAGTCATTACGAATCCTTGCCATTACACGGTCCACAGAAGTCCCATTAACTCATCTACTAACAGCTGAACGGTGAATCCGGTCTCTACTTTCTACGCCAAATGATTCCTTCAGTGAACTTTTCCATAAGCTGCATTGAACACCTAATTTTTGATATAAAATAAAAATACGATGGTTTATTTAGCCAGCTATAGTGATGTGTGAGACTTCTATCTCAAACTTGAATTCCTCTCGATTTTACCGAGAAACTGTGCAAACTCTATCACTAAATTTAATAAAATTAAATCCCTGGATTTTCGTTGGTAATACAGTATCACAGTATCGCTGTCATACTTACGGAGGTACGCATAGACTAACTTGGGATTTTCGCACAGCTGATGCTGATTGCTGACAGTGGTGAACGTAAATGTGCATACAAAAATAAGAAATTTTAATTAAGCTAGCGGAAAAATTATATAATAATTTTTCAAAAAGTAATGAAAATTTAGAAAATAAATTGATTAATAAACATATTATACAGCCCACGTCGCAGTACACCGACTACTCACCCGTCCTTCTGCTCGGCTGCTCGGTCTCGCTGCCGCCGGTTCTTGAACCAATTAGAAACTTGAGTTGTAGTGAGGCCCGTGGCTTCGGAAAGTTCCCTCTTTTCGCGGGGCGAGGGATATGGATTACTAGCGTACCAATCTCGAAGAACATTGCGGGATTTCTCCTTGAAACAATAAGAGGTTTCTTCTCCGTCCCAAATTGTGCGAGGAAGAGGGAACTTCCGTCGAACTCTGTACTTGCCGACCGCTCCTAGAGGTCTGCCTCGTAATTTTTCCGCTTCGATATAATGTGCTTTTAACCACAATTGCTGCAATTTGTTGTGGTTATGCGACGAAAAATTATGAGATTCGAGAATCCTATACAGATCCTTAAAATTTCCTCGATTAAATGATACCAGTGCTTTAGCTTTAAGTACCGATTCATTTTTGTGTAAATGTTCGCATGCCGGCAGAGACCATAAAAATCTCCCAAGGCGCTCTATATCGCCACTCTGTTGCAATACTTCACAAACACACGCTACTTGCTCCTGCGTGAACCCGAACGACGGCAACATCGTGGCCGTCGATGAAAACGAAACTTGGGGTATAGAATGAGGGAGAAGGTGTGGGGCCGAGGAAAGAGTGGCCTCGCTCATGGATCCCACTATCATAATACACCACCTCAAACAACACTAGCACTGCCCAGGTTGGCTTGAATCTAAGTCACGAGGTAGCCCAGGTCCCTTTAATTTGAGGGCGATGTGCGCATCCACCCTATGACACAGCCTGCCACAAACTAAGGGCTGATAGCCATGTTACTGAGGCTGCAGCACTGCCAGAACAAGCGTAGCCCTCCCTCACTTGAGCGAGACTCCGCCCGCAGCTCTCATGCCATCAGCAAACCTTATGAACGGACGTTAGTCGATATCGCGAACCACCCAACCGCACCCGCGGTATTCCAGCCGGGCGGATTCCATGCCTGGCTGGGGAGCGGAGGCGCTGGATGATCAACTGGAAAGAGGCGGTCGCGTGGCCGAAAGAGGAGGAGCGCCTAGGACGAAAGATGGATGGTTCTTAAAATTGCTGTGGTATCCTTAATAATAACACTTATTCACTTAGCGGCACAAAGCTCAAAGATCGTTTGAAGAGTTATACTCTCAGTGCAGGAGTCGTCATCAAAAAGGAGTGGTAAAATACGAAAGTTTGTTTACGTTTGAAGCAATAAGTAAGACATCATGTCATCAACACTAGGTCCCACAAACTGAGCAAGCAAGCGAGCACATCTGAAATTGGTATAAATTTGCTACTGCTGCTAACAAATCTACGGCGTGAACGATTCCTGTCACGGCAATTTGCGTGGATTTGTTTTATTAAATGTAATTAATATGAGAGAACACTTTCCCTTTTCAAATTATTTTAGACTGATTTTGACGGTGCACTTAAAACTGTTGGAGCCTAGATTCTGCATGAAATAAAAATTCGTTTCAGTATGGCAGCGGAAACAATTGTTTATTGGTGTAGCGACACTACATTATGGTTCGAATATTTTTCGTATGAATTACGTTGCAATTTTCGTAAATCGATTTTTAAATTAATCTACATAATGTCTTTTCCTTTTTTGAGATTTGGTCTTAATTTACAATTGGAGGTAGAAACTAATTTACTAAATTTGCTACTTTACTTTACTAAATAATACTTTACATAAACTAATTTACTAAATTTACCACTTTACTTTGCTAAATATTACTTTACAGAAACTAATTTACTAAATTTACTACTTTCATTTACTCATTAATATTACAAGGTAAATAAATTCCCTAAATTACTAATCCTAAAGGCAGAAACATTCAAATGTTACACAATTCATTACTGAAATCGAATTAGGGAATCGAGTGGGACAATAAAAATTTCAGTCGAGATATATTCTGCTACTCGCACACGGTCCAAATGTAAAAATGATTTGGGCATTAATTATGAATTCGGTGTCATATATACATATATACGTATATATATTATTTTGTTTAACGCAGCTGCCTATAGCGATTCGCAGCGCCAACTTTGTATAATAAAGTTTAATGATTATAAAGCTTTTGCATTTTATGAGATAAAAGCTTCCGTAATAACGAAAAAGGCTATCAATAAATGATAAGTACGGCTGTTCACTCATGGATCTTAGTTAGTTCATTGTTATTTTAGCTACAACTGGTCTCTTGCGATCTAACTTAGCGGTGTTTTAAAGACTAAATATCATAGATGTGTTTCGCAGTTATATTATTCGTTCTAAGTTCCTGTTTTTGGTTGCATTGTTTTGATATAATTTATCGTAAAAAATTTCAGATTATAAGCTCAATTTCTATTTTTTATTTGCATTTTTTCATAACGCATTCACTCCGAAAAAATAATGTCCGGGTAAAAAAACGTTGATGAATCCTCAAAAATTGGATCATTTATTCTAAATTTTAAAAACCTAATTTTATCGTTAATGAGCCACAACTTGACGTAAAATTATTATGTGAATCCCAGCGTTTAATAACGTACACAGATCGATCAGTACCAGTAGAGAAAAGTCGAACTTTGTAATTCCTTTGGAGTAAACTTCAATGGACGGAAATATTTATCTCAGGTTATTCATTTATTTCCATCCTCAGCCGGGAAAATAACGAAAAGGAACAACGAACACGGGAAATAGTTCTAAAGAGTACTTCTTTATTCTGAGATTAATTTTAGTTGACATAAGTTATCACAAAATAAAATTAAAACGATCAAGCAAACTCCAACTGCCGCAATTTAAACAACTATTAATAGTCTATGTCATGCACTATATATAGATGGTCAGTAATTTGCGTAGATTAGTACAAGTGAATATTCAATACAGATAAATACAAAATTTGGTAGCACTCTTGGCCAAGGAAGGGACAGGCTCAAGCACACGACGGTTTCTTATCGTAAACTGATACTATTGGCTACATGTAGGTTTGTCAACTTTGATTCATCAGTCAACGGCCATGAGACAAACAAAAAAAGTCGCTTAGAGTTGCTTTTGTTAATTAATATTCGTAGGTATCAGAGAAGCAGGGCTCAACACCGACGTATTTCGCTATCAGGACAAGAGAGGACAGATTACAGACAACGCCTTAATTATACGTCGACGCGGCTGTAGTTGTTAGCAGCGCACCTATACTTCTGACGGCCGGGGACTTCTTCAACATATTAGGCATCTCACTTCTGGCTCTAGACAAATGATGGAAATTAAATAAATTAATCAACATGACTTGTAAATTAGGTAACGCTTTTTAATTTAAATTATATGCTATTATTTCATAAGTACATTACAGTATGATTGTTATCATTTAATTTACGTAAGTCAAACGACACGTCATTTTGATTGATTTTGGCGATTTCATTTGAATATGAACAGCGATTCCAGTGAAAAATGCATACCAACTAAATAAGTTATAAAATAAATAATAATATCAATAATATATTCATAATAATAATAATAATAATAAAATGTACTCTCATGAGGTCAGCCGTGCATGGCAAAGGGCACAAGCGACAATTTTTAGGCCAATGAGTGGCATAAAGAATGCAAGTTTCGGTCAAACCTAACTATCAATAATGTCCTCGTGCTTGTGTTATTTGAGGTGCTGGAGGCTGGGCCGAGCCAAATGATCAGGGACGTTTGGCTCGCTATCTTGTCCCTTATCTCAGGTATTGCACGGGCGCATCATTTGTCTGAGCTACAGGGAATTTGTCGCAAAACAGAGGCACTCTCTTGTGTTGTGTCCCGTCTAATTGATGACTGCGGCTCAAAAGGACAGAAGCTTCCAGGATTCCAATTACGTACAGGTGCCAATGATGGTGAGTCATGAATTTCACAGTAAATTGATGGGATGAAAACTATTTCTAAACATTTCCAACATTTTATTTGTAATATAATTATGCTGGTATACGCAGCACAGTCCCAATTGTCAAAATTACTCAAAAAAATTGTTTTCCAAGTTATTTTATATTACTATTATATGTAGTAACCCGAAATAAAATTACAAAATCCTGTCGTATCGATTTAACCCATTGAACTTTCTCAACGTATTTTTAGATCTCATACATTCAATGACATATGAATACCTTTTCATAATTACGAACCTTTTAAAGTGCTGCTTGAAGTGCACGGCCTGTTCCTTTTGTGTGTTATCATTTGATCATCGTCACGTTCCTATCCTAACTTAACTTTATATAACCTCGGGGATCTGCGAATAGAAGATTGTAAATTATAAAAAATTTTAAAATAATTTTTAATTACTAGGTCGATGAATGCGAACCCAAAGGTCTTAAATATCTTCAAATTCACAATTAAAATATAATTGTAAAATTTTAAATAAAATTCTGATAATTTTAGGATTATAGTAATTGCTCTGTTGCAGTAAAATGCTCGTGTTGCAGTAAAACAGCCTGACGTAAAATGCTCGTTTTGTACATATATTTATTTTAGCTACAATTTAGTGCCATAATCATCTGATTTATTTCCATGGATGTGAACTAAATGGCAAGAGTTTTCTACAATTAATAAGGTACAAATCCTACAACTCAGGCACAATTCCATCTACGATCAATTTCTGTCTGCCGCGCTGTCGTAACGCAACTTACATTGCGGACTGTTGGTATTTGGTATTAATGATACTTTTTGGATTTAATTCACTGATTAACATAAACTATTCTTCTTTCATCAGTGACTGGTAATGATGTTCAAAACTCAATGTTCGCATTTCTGACCTCATGATGAGTAATTTTCACTTAACACATACAAAGAGATTTTAGAGCAACATTTAAAATGGGATGAGTCATAGCCTTTATATTTATCCTCATAATTTTTAGCGCATGTTCTCATTTATGGAAAAAATTAACTATTGTGCTCGCCATGTCCGTCTGTCTGTCTGTCTATCTGTCTGTCTGTCTGTCCGTCTGTCAGTCTGTCCGTCCGTGACCACGTTTTCGTCGACGAGGAAATGCGCTCTCTGTCACTCACTGCAGTGAGTACTGAGTTATATTTTTTGTTTTGTATATTGTGTGTAGATCATTCGAAATATATAGGCTTCCTGTCCAAGCAAATTTTGAAATGTTTTGCTATGCTTAATTTGAATGATCGCTATATCTTAGTGACCACTGCGCGAATTATATATCTCAATATATATCGGTCTCCGTTACTAAGGATATTGAGACACCTATGCAACACAACCCGCTTGCCTAGTTAGGTAGTGCCAACTTCCGGAGCATTTTTGCGGGCTTGCTTAAAATAATCACCCCTCTCACATAACCCAGCGCAATACCATTGAAGGCTCGTAAAGTACAACTGAAACTTCTCATTACGCTTTAGTTTATGGCAAGTGAGTCTGCTCGTTTAGTGCAGCTCCTCATTTACTGGGAATAGAGTGCCTGTAGCCAAGTTATTTGAACCTCCCCTTTGTTCCCACGGTGGTCCGTTACGGCCAAGCTCTACGCGCCTTACCCTCGCGGCCAGCCCTCAAACTGCGTGCTTGCTTGGCTGTCACCGCCGCGTCAACGCCTTCACTACAACAATGCGCCGCTCAAGAATGTCTGCGGTGGGTGGCCTGTAGCCCAGCTACATTCTGCAGCCTAGCGTGTCTAAAATACGCCAGAAAAAGAAAAAAATTCTTAATAATTAATAATAATAATAATAGAATCATTTTTAAGAAAAATTATTCTGATAAATTGCTCGTGATGCGTAGCAGAAATTGTAACCGTGTAGTAGCTCGAAAAATGTTACAAGGCGCATTACCTAATCTCAAGAGTAAACCGAATGTCAGTAAAAAAGATAAAGTGTTTAATAC